TATATATATATATATATATATATATATATATATATATATATAATAGATAATATATATATAATATGATAACTTCTTGGCCATAGCCAACTACCTTGAGGGAATGAGTTGGGGCTCATGGGCTTGGGACCATGGTTGCGGGGGACATCAAGCTCAACTGGCATAACATACTATACAAAAACATTGTTCTACATCCTGCCAAAGATGCATGGAACAATTAGTCCAAGGGACTAGTGGACCATATGAACCTCAGCCTACATGACCATGAGACCAGAAATTAGATGATACCCAGCTACCACTGTCAACCACTCAGAAAGAGATCAATGTAGGAGATCCTGGATAGAGTGGGAGAAAAATAGGGAACAAAATTCAAAATTGTAAAAAAGACCAGGATTACTGGTCTGACAGAGACTGGTGAAACCCCTGAAACTACAGCCCTTAGTCACCCTTTGTGCCTGGAATTGAATGCACTCCTGTGGCTTCCAGGCAAACAATACCCACTGCCGTCAAGTCAGACCCAACTTACAGCGACCCCTCCTTGGGGTTCCTAGGCAGGATCCCTACAGAAGTAGATTGCCCAACCTTCCTTCCGTGGTGTGGCTGATGGGTTTGAACCACCAGCCTTCTAGTTAGCAGTCAAATGCCTTAGGGACTATGCCACCAGAGCTCCTAGGCAAACAATAAACAGGCATATATGGTGAACATTTACACCAGGTAAGTATACTTCTTAGAATAATCAACTATGGGAGATCAGACGGGCAGTATTTGCACAGGGAGATAGCCCAGAGAGCAGAAATGCATGGAAAAAAAGACACAGGGAAAGGGTAACCACAGGGAGGAAGCAGGAAGAGAGCTATTGCATTATGAGGACTGCAGTCAACGTCATGAAACAGTGTAAGAACTGTTGTATAGAAAATGAATTTGCTCTGTAAACTTTCACCCAAATCACAATTTAAAAAAAGAGAGACTATGTACTGTACTATGAAGAGAGATTATGTACTGTACTATGAAGGGAAAAAAGAGAGGAAAAGTACAAATAATATCAGAAAGGAATGAAAAATAGAATACCACTATACAGATTCAATAATACTTGAAAAGCTTTGAATTCATTAAAAGAACAAACAAAAAAACAGACTTAATGGTCTGATAGAGCTCTAGTAGCATAGTTCTTAAGGAAGGTTGGGCAACCTACTTCCATAGTGATACCGTCTTAGAAACCCAAGGAGGGATCGCTATGAGTCAGGTCCGACTCAGTGGCACATAACAACAACAACAACCGGTCTGATAGAGACTGGTAGAACCCCTGGAGACTATGGCCTTTATACACCCTTCAAACCTGGAACTGTACCCACCCCTGAGAATCACCTTTCAGCCAAACAATACACACCTATAAAGTGAACAATACCACCTGTGAGGAATGTATTCCTCAGAAGAGTTAACCATATGAGACCAAAAGGGCAACATTTGTCCAAAAACAAAGTTCAGAAGACAGGAAAGGGCAAGAAGGAAGGACCAATGGAAATAGGAGCTCAGGGAGGAAATGAGAAGAATGCTGTTACATTGAAGGGACTGCAACTGATGTGGTGAAAGAAAACGTGTATAAAATTGTCGACTAGAAAAGTAATTTGTTTTGTAAATTTTCACCCAAACCACAATAAAATGTTCAGAAAAACCTGTTAAATGGAAACCTATTTCGCTATGTAAACTTTCATGTAAAACACAATAAAATATTTTAAAAAGAAAAAGAGATTGTGAACAATACTATGCCAATTTAAAAAAATTAAATTTAAATGAAATAGACAAATTCTTAGAAAAACACAAAGTCCTCTAGCTGATGTAAGAAAAAATTAGACAACCAGAATGTGAGACCCGTACTTAATCCATCGTTAAAAGTCTTCTAACAAAGAAAACTCTCTGGACCCAAATAGTTTCACTGGTATATTCTATTACACATTTAACTAAGAAATACTATCTGCTTTAAATAAATTATTCTAGAGAACAGAAACAGAGGGATCAGTTTCCAATATGTTTTATGAGGTCAACATAAACTTGATACTAAAACATGACAAAGACCTTACGAGAAAAGAAAATTACAAGCCTTTATCTTTCTCAGGAAAGTAGATGAGAAAATGCTAAAACAAAGCAAAAGAAACAAACAAACAAACAAATAGAAAAAACCCATAGTATTAGCAAACTGACTGCAGCAACAGAGAAAGAATAATATAGCAAAATCTAGTTGGATTTATTCCAGGAATGAAAGGTTAGTTTAACAGGTTGCTGAATTAATAGTGAAAACAAAACAAAACAAAAAAAACCTCAATAGATGCAAATTTCAATGGGAAAAAGCTTTGATGCTTTTGAAAACAGTAATAATTTTTTAAAAAAGGTTACTTTTTTCCCACTCCTTCATTCAGAGAAGAAATTTCCTAGCCAATGATGTAGAGCAGTTGCAGTGAATTCTTCCATTCTGAGCTCCCTGTCCTGTTCAGCTCTGCAGTTGTTGTTGTTGTTACGTGCTGTTTTCTTAAGTTACATGCTTCCTTTCTAACCAGAAAATCTTTAACACCCCTTCATACCCCACTTCCTCTCCTCCACCCCATCCCCTTGTCCTCTCATTCCCAGTACTGACCCATCAGGTGGGAGGGTCATGGTGAGGAAGAGGATTACCTCCGACATATAGGACATCCACCCGTTCACACTGTCAGGCTTCCTGGTATAAGAGTTGTAGACGACAGCATCCTTCACTAGCACAGCCAGGGCTCTCAGGATGAAAGATGCAAACAAGTTCATGTGGATGTAGTTGCGTGTGCAGTGGAGTTTTCTGTGCAAGGAGAAAACCGAACTAGGGGGGTGAGGAGTGCAGACCACACCCTCTGACACTGGCAGAGAGAGTGACAACAAAATGGCCCCAGAGTCTGGGGAGGGGGTGGTGCAGTAGGGGAAGGGGCCACCAAGGCAGGGTGGGATCAGGCTGCTCTGCCCACCAGGGGGGTTTCCTAGCTTGCCTTGCAGGGGTAGGGGGCTGGAGAAGTGATACCATGAGTTACCACACTGGATGACATCAACCCTAGTGATGCCACTGCTGTGCATCTATCACTAAGAATAGAATTCATCGTAGGCTCTGGGGCTGGACTGCTAGGTTGTGTGATCTTACTTCTCTGTGCCTCCTTTTCCTCATATGCAAAACACTTATATGACATGTTCAACATGCCAGATTATTTGTGAGTATCCCTACTCATAATCACTGCATGTGCAGGTAGTATTATCATGATTTTATAAATGAGGAAGTTGAAGCAGAAGGATGAAATCACCTGTTCAAAATTCCATGGCAAGTAAGTAGTTAATCTGAGGTTTAGACACCCAAAGCCCCTACTGCCTCTGAAGTGCACGTACCTCAAAGGGTTGTGGAAGGATTAAATCAGTCAAGTGCTCATATACTTGTGGTTATTAGTTGCCATTGACTTGGCTCTGACTCATGGTGACTTTATGTATAATAGATCTGGCACAAAATAATTGTCCAGTAAATGTCAACCCTCATTACCTCTCTCACCCACCTGGAGCCTCATGGAGGCTCTTTGTCACATGAGCTGATGTGAAACTACACATCTGCATTCTCTAGACTGAAGGACCTTTTCTACTGGGCTCTCAAAGACCCACCTGTACTCTATGTAGTGTGTATCCTACATTCTCTTGCTTAAAAGGACTTGAGAAAGCTCCTTGTGTTTATGATTTATACATCCTTCTTACTAGACTGGGGGCTACTTGATGTTAAGTACTCAATCTCACTCTTTCTAGTACCTGAGGCAAAATAGACACCTGGTCAATTCAGGCTGAGCTGAAGTTATTTCCTACCAGACTGGGCAGTGGGTGCTCTAAGGCATTTGACTGCTAACCAGAAGGCTGGCAGTTCAAACCCACCGCCACTCCTCAGAAGGAAGGTTGGGCAATCTATTTCTGTAGTAATAATGCTTTGGAAACCCAAGGTGTGAGGTGTCAATATAAGCCAGATCCAATTCCATGGGAGTGCATTGTGTTGTGTTGCATTAGACTGGGCACTTATCTTCTCCTGGCCTGGTTCTGGGACTTTGGGAAGTTGAGTGGAGGAGGTCATAAACAGCCAGGGGGCTCAGGCTGTGAAATTCTCCCATTGCTCAAGAATTGCTCTCCCAAGTGGTAGAAGATCATGACTCTGCTCCAGGAGCTGTAGAACATCTTGAGATTGAGGGTTCAGATAAGGCCATACCTGAGGCTAGTGGAGCCCAGGTGGGAGTTGTTCTGGAATTAGTATCCAGGTCTCCAGGTCTCCATCCAGATCTCCTACAGCCATGTCCAATGTGCGTTTAGCCACACTATGATCAGGTATGCTACTAAATAGGCTGGTGCAAAAGAGACAGCTTTGGAGGGCTCTTTAGTGGGTCCCTAATTATCTCATTTGAGTGCCTTCTGAAAACATGAATTAGTAAAATGCACTCAGGCTTTGGATTCTAAAAGACAGTATCACCCACTGTCGTCAAGTTGATTCCAACTCATAGCTTCCATTTAGGACATAGTAGAGAACTGCTGCATAGGATTTCCAAGGTTGTAAATCTTTATGGAAGCAGACAGCTTCATCTTTCTCCCATAGAGCAGCTGGTGGATTCAAACTGCTGACTTTTTGGTTAGCAGCCAAATGCTTTAACCATTACACCACCAGTGCTCTTTAAAGATAATATAACCCCCCCCACACACACACACACACAATATCACTGCCGTTGAGTTGATCCTGACTCACAGCGACCCCTCCTGGGGTTTCCGAGGTGGTATCTCTATGGAAGTAGATTGCCCCATTCTCCTTCTGAGGAGTGAGTGGCTGGTGGGTTTGAACTGCCAGCTTTCTGGTTAGCAGTCAAATGCCTTAGGCACTATGCCACCAGAGCTCCCAAAAGATAACATAAGGGAATGAAAATGCTCAGGTTCTGAACTTCCTGCTTGGATTTCTGGTTCCATCACTTACCAGTTGTTTGGGGAAAGTTACTCCATCTTTTCATATTTCAGTTAACTTGTCTATAAAATGAGGTTTATAATAATGCTAATCTCCTAGACTTAAGGAGCTCTGATGACTTAATGGAAAGGTATTTGGCTGCTAACCAGAAGGCCAGTGGTTCAAACCCACCAGCCACTCTGCAGAGAGAAGATGGAGCAATCTACTTCCATAAAGATTGGCAGCCTCAGAAACCCAATGGGGGTTGCTATGAGCTGGAATTGACTCAGTGGCAGTGAGTTTATGTTTGTTTGTTTGTTTTTAATTTCTCCTAGACTTATTATGAGAATCAAAATACTTAATACATGTAAAGTACTTAGAACTGTGCCTGGCACAGAGTAAGCTCAAAAAATTGATAGCTAATTGGAGTAGGAAGACCTGGATTTAAATTTGAGTTCTGCCACTCACTAATTGCCTTAGGAAAGTTTCTTAATTTCTCCTGTGAAAATAGTGTCTTTGGTAGAGTGTGGTAAGAATGTGTAGTAGTGGGTGTGACTAAGGATTTAGACCACAAACCAGTTGCCATCAAGTCAACTCTGGTGCATGGTGATCCCACATGTGCCAAAGAAGAACTGTGCTCCACACAGTTTTCAGTATCTGACTTTTTGGAATTGTATCACCAGGACTTTCTTCTGAGGCACCTCTGGATAGACTTCAACCTCTAAACTTTCAATTACCAGCCAAGTGCATTAACTGTTTGCATCACCCAGGGACTCCTTGGCACACAGGATGTTATATAACCCAAAAGAGTAAGAAGTTGAATCAGGATTTCAGATTCAAGTTCTAGCTGTGCTGCAACTAGCTTTGTGACTTGGGGAGACTCAATGACTCTCATTGGACCATTGATATCCCTATAACTCTGAAATCATCTGCAAAATGGGATGGATGGATCCCTTCCAGTTCTGATGATATATGATATCATCCGCCCCAGTCTTCCACTGCCTTCTGTTGTTGTTAGATGCTGTCAAGTTTGTTTTGACTCATAGCTACCTTATGTGCAATAGAATGAAACACTTCATGGTCCTGCACCATTCTCACAATGTTGTCATGCTTGAGCCCATTGTCGCAGCCACTGAGTCAGTCTACATTTTTGGTGAGGTCTTCCCTTTCTTTCACTGACCCTCTACTTTACCGAGCATGATATCCATCTCCAGGACCTGGTTCCTTCTGACAACGTGACCTAAATATGGGAGTCAATGTCTGGCCATTCTTGCTTCTATAGAGCATTCCAGCTGTACTTCTTTTCAAGACAGGTTTGTTTGTTCTTCTAGTAGTCCATAGTACATTCAATATTCTCTGTCAATATCACAATTCAAATGCATCAATTCTTCTGCAGTCTTCCTTATTCATTGTCTAGCTCTCATATGCATATGAGACTACTGAAAATACCATGGCTTGGCTCAGGTGCACCTTAGTCTTCAAAGTGATGTCTTTGCTCTTGAATACTATAAAGAGCTCTTTTCCAGCAGATTTGTCCAATACAATACACTATTTTGATTTTTTGACTGCTGCTTCCATGGGTATTGATTGAGAATAAAAGTAAAATGAAATCCTTGACAACTTCAATTTTTTCTCCATTTACCATGATGTTGCTTATTGGTCCAGCTGTGAGGATTTTTGTTTTCTTTATGTTGAAAGCTTTAGTCTTTGATCTTCACCAGTAAATGTTCAAGTCTTCTTCACTTTCAGCAAGAAAAGTTGTGTCATACGCATATCTCAAGTTGTTAGTCAGTCTTCCTTCAATCCTGATGCATGTTCTTCTTCACACAGTCCAGCTTCTCAGATTATTTGCTCAGCATACAGATTGAACAAGTATGATGAAAAGACAGAACCCTGACATACACCTTACCTGATTTTAAATCATGCAGTATCCCCTTGTTCTGTTTGAACAATTGCCTCTTGGTCTGTGTACACAGTCCCCATGAGCACAATGAAGTATTTTGGAATTCCCATTCTTTGCAGTATTATCCATAATTTGTTACGGATACACTGCCTTCTAGAGGTAGCCAATGAGAGAATTACATGGTGCATGATGCCTAAACATATGTGAACAGAAGTTCCACTCACCGAAGAAACAGGAGGAGGGCTAGAGCCATGAGGAGGGAGGCAAGGGAGAAGGAGTATCCCACGGTGTACATCAGCTGCAAGGTCGACAGCAAATCCTGATGTTCTACCTGAACACAGAGGAAGAGCAGACATGATAACCACCACCTAGCTCCAAGATCAGGAACACTGAGGATCTAGGCATGGTTCTCCAAATGCTTTTAACCCCTTCCCTCTTTATCCTTATTGATATCCATGTTGGATAGCCTAAACTGCTTCCTGGCACATCTCAGAGGCCAAGGAGTTTTCATGATCAAAGATTCTATAGTGGTCTCACTTTCATGACTGGACTCACAAACCAGCACTGATGCACCAAGAGTCACAATAACATAGAGGCGATGCCTTGAGAAGGAGAATAATCTCTTTGTCCCTGAAATGCTGTCCCTGGAATGCTGTCCCTGGAGTCTATGGATCACTCTCTCTAAAGAATGGGGCCATATTTATGGAGATGGAGATATTTTCTTTGGGTTCTGGGACTATTGTTGTCAGCTGCCATCAAGTCACCCACAACTCATGGCACAATGGGATCTAACCATTGTGATTCATGGAATTTTCATTGGCTGATTTTCAGAAGTACATGGCCAGGCTTTTCTTCCTAGTATATCTTATATCATCACAACAACTTGCAAGCCTCCACTGACAGACAAGTGGTGCACTGGCCAGGAATTGAACCTGGGTCTCCCATATGAAAGATAAGAAGTCTACCTCTTGTATAGTAAAACTGACAAGGGGCAAGGTTGTGGTCACTGCTTGGTCACCCAGAGGGATCAAGTAGTTGTGGGCTTGGGACCATATTCACAGGGGACATCAAGCTCAATTGGCATAATATACTATAGAAAATGTTGTTTCAGCTCCTACTTTGGTGAGTAGCAACTGGGATCTTAAAAGCTAGCAAGCTAGCATCTAGATGCAATGATAGGTCTCTCCTTGTCCAGAGCAAGGAAGAATGAAGAAAACCAAAATTCATGGAAAGAATTAGTCCTAGCAACTGGTACACCATTTGATCTGGAGCCTATATGACTATGACCAGAAGAATTAGATAGTGCCCAGCTACCACTGTCATCCACTTGGAAGGGGATCTATGTAGGAGATCCTGGGTAGAGAGGGAGAACAATGTGGAACAAAACTCAAAGCATTTGGCGAACAAAAAAAAAAAAAAAAAGAGGGGACCAGGTTTGCTGGTCCGATAGAGCATGGTGGAACCACTAGGACTATGGCCCCTAGCAGCCCTTCAGGTCTGGAATTGAACCCACACCTGTGATTTCCTGCCAAACAAAAGACAGGCATATGAGTTGAACATTTCCCTAAGGTAGATACACTCCTTGGAGAGAACAATCATGGGAGAAAGAAGGGCTGCTTATGCACAGGGAGACAGCTCAGAGGGCAAGAGTGCATGGAGGGATGGACACTGGGAAGAGGTAACAACTACAGGGAGGAAGTGAGAGGGGAGCTGTTGTATTGTGGTAAACTGTGGACAATGTCATGAGACAAAGTATATGTGAACTGCTGTATGGTAAGTGAATTTGCTCTGTAAATCTTCATCCAAATCACAATAAAAAATAATAATAAAAATAAAGAATTCTACCACTAATGCCCTCTAGAGTCCCAAGATAGCCTGATTGTAGACAGAGCATAGGGTTGCTGTGAGTTAGAATTGACTCAATGGCAGTGAATTTGGGTTTTTCTGGGGTTTCTGTTATTAGATGTGATTTTCTAATGGAGTAGAATTTTCTCACCCAATCTATCATGTATATTACTACTGAGATTATGTTTCTAAATAGCTTTTGTACAAGAATCCATGGTTAGCCCTAATTACCTGCTCAAATCACTGCTGTCAAGTCGATTTTGACTCATAGCGACCCCTCCTGGGGCTTCTGAGGCTGTATCACTACAGAAGTAGATACCCAACCTTCCTTCTGAGGAACGGCTGATGCGTTTGAACTGCCAGCCTTCTGGTTAGCAGTCAAGTGCCTTAGGCACTACACTACCAGAACTCCCAGGGTTAGATATAGGAAGCCATTATTTGACACCTTTGTCCAGTTGAGGTTCCCTTCCATTCCTAATTGGCTGTGTTTTTATCCTGAATGGTTGTTAGCGTTGGTCAAATACTTTGTCTGCATCTAATGGTTAAGCAACTCTGGTGGCACAGTGCCAACTAGGAGGTTGGCAGTTCAAACCTACCAGCTGTTCTGCAGAAGAAAGATGGGGCAATCTACTGTAAAAAGATTTACTGCCTTGGAAATCCAATGGAGGTAGCTATGAATTGGAATTGAGTCAATGGCAATGGTAGCGGAATGAGATGATTAAGTGGCTTTTATTTTTTGAAGTCTGTTAATCTAAATGAATTACATTAATTAGTTTTCAAATGTTTTGGTCATGATGTGTTATTCTACAAAAAAAATTTTCCTAGTATCTTCATAAGGAGCTCTAGTAGCATAGTGTCTAAGGCACTTGAATGCTAACCAGAAGGCTGGAAGTTCAAACCCACCAGCAGCTCCTTGGAAGGAAGGTTGGTCAATCTACTTCCATAATGATACCCTCGGAAACTCAAGGACGGGTCCCTATGAATCAGGGCCAACTCAGTGGCATATAGCAATAAAAGTCTCTTCATAAAGCAAATGTCATGGCAGAAAAAGAAGGAGGTGGAGACTATTCTAGATTAAAAGATACTAAAGTGATATAAAACTAAATGTAATATATAAATTTGGATTAGATCTTGTTCAGGAAAAAAAAGAAGATATAAAACTTTGATGGGAATAACTGGGGCAATTTCAATATGTATGAAACATTACGTGATACGGGATAAAATTACTATTAATTTTACCTACTTGGGATAATGGTATTGGAACTATATGGAATACTATCCTTAATTTTAGGTTGTACAAGATGAACATTCAGGGAGAAAAGCTCATGTTGTTTGAAATTTACTTTAAAATACTTCAGAAAGAAAGAGAGAAAAAGCAAATATGGCAAAATGTTAATAGATTTTTGAATCTAGCTAGAAGATATATAAATGTTCATAATAATTATTTCATTTTTCCTACAAGTTGGAAAATTTCTAAATAAAATGTTAGAAAAGTTATATACATGTATAAATTGATATATATTATACATTATATTGAAAATTAAAATTGTCATTAAATATGTATTGCATTATATATGGTATATATATATATATATATATATATATATAATGTCAATTAAACTCTGTATTTGAGATTTGAGAATAGAAAGCACTTTTTCGAAGGGCAAGGAAAGTTTTAATGTGAAATAAGTCAAGATAACAGTTTATTTCCATATTAATAAACACAAGTCAATACTGAAAAATCTAAACATACTTATTAATGTTTGTGTGCACATGGATGTATACACAAACTCTGTCTCCTTTAAGAAATGCCATTTAACACAGATAAGGACCCCCAGTGTGTCGTTAGTTGGAAAACCATAATTTATTTTGTTTGCCAAAACTCTGAAGGGCAAAGATTTACTAACACTGGTCTTTTTTGGGCAAAATTTCAACCCTCTGTTAGAAACACAGGTAAACATGGTCAGAAGTTATTTTTTTTTTTTAAGCATTTGAATTCTTGGAAATATGGCCATTGCAGAGAGGAGGAAGTGATGCCTTTGTTCTCAGTTTTCAAGAAAGAGAAATCTCTGCTTCCTGTCTTAGAAAGTGCAGTTTTCCAAATCTTGTCTTGCTGTCCCATCTGCTGACTTGGGGATGGAGGTAGTATAGACTAAGCCCAAAGGAAGCAACCAGGCATTCTGCATGTGTTGATAAATTGCTAGTGAACTTTGTTTCTCAATCTTAGCTGCATATTAGAATCACCTGAGGAATGTTAGAAACCAGTATTGATATCAAGGCCCCACTACAGACTAATGGAACCAAAATCAGTGAAACCAACCATTCAGTATTTAGGAGATCTGGTGGTATAGTTCCTAAGGCATTTGACTGCTAATCAGAAGGCTGGTGGTTCAAACCCACCAGCCACTCCTCGGAAAGAAGGTTGGGCAATCTTCTTCCATAGTGACACCGCCTTGGAAACCCAAGGAGGGGTCACAATGAGTTGGATATGACTCGACAGAAATGAGACACTATATAAAGGCATGGAGGATGATGAGGCACTCTACTTGTATAAAGATTTAAAGCCTTAGAAACCCAATGGGGGTCACTATGAGTCGGAGTTAATTTGATGGTAGTGGGTTACATGTAAAGACTATTGTGCATCATAGTACTATGCCAAGGGTGGGGATTGTGGAGTTCAGATATGGCTATGACTTTTACACTGGCCTCAAGCAGCTTACAGTACAGGAGGGAAGTCAAGAAATATATATAATCTGCCTAATTCAAGGCAAACAATTAACATGACTTTAGGGTTATGACAAAAGTCAGACCAATTCTTAAGATATGCTGAATCCAACCCAACCACAGGTGTCATTTAAATACCGTCGAGATGTGATCTGTCACATGGTAAAACTGTATAATTTTGTCAATCTAGATTAGATATTAAAGTTAAAAAGAGAATTGGAAGAAATTCCATGCAGATGTGGAGAATCCAATGTAAAGTTTTTCAGATGGGAAAATAATGATAGATTTAAGAAAGCCAACCACCACTCATCTGTCAGTTTGTCATATTGTAATGGCTTGTGTGTTGCTGTGATGCTGGAAGCTACACCACTGGTATTTCAAATACCAGGAGGATCACCCATACACGGTATGCAGGTGACCCAAGTTTGCTTGCTGAAAGTGAAGAAGACTTGAAGTATTGACTGATGAAGATCAAAGGCTACAGCTTTCAGTACAGATTACACCTCAACATAAAGAAAACTAAACCCACCAGCCACTCTGTAGAAGAAAGACTGGGCAATCTACTTCCATAAAGATTAACCACCTTGGAAACCCAAAGGGGGTCACTATGAGTCAAAATTGACTTGAAGGCAGTGAGGTTTTTTGTTTGTTTGTTTTTGTTTTTAATACCTGTGGTGTAATTCCATTTGGGAATAGGGTTTTCCTTGTTATGTTAATGAAGCCATATCAGTGTAGAGTGTGTTTTAAACTTAATGCTTTTTGAGATAGAAAAGAGCAGATTAGATAGAGAGACAAGGACAAAGAGGGGAAAGGCAGATTCCATTTCTTGATGGAAATCATCAAGAAACCCACGAATGCTGTGGTTACAGAAACTGAGACAAAACCTTCTCCTAGAGTCAGTGTTCTAAATTCAGAATTCTACCTTCTACATAACAAACAAAAACAAACAAAAATCAATGATAAAATAAATGTCTATTTGTTAAGCCATCCACTTCTGGTATTTCTGTGACAGCAGCTCTAGCAAACTAAGATACCATGTGTTACAGAGCAGAACTGCTCCATGGGGTTTTCTTTTTTGTAATCTTTGTGGAAGTACTGAGCAATCTACTTCTATAGAGATACTGCCTCAGAAACCCAAGGAAGGGTCTCTATGAGTCACAATTGACTGACAACAGTGAGGTTTTTTTTTCCCCCCCTTATGGAAGCAGATCTCTAGGTCTTTGTTCCAGGGATGATCTGAAAAAGGATATAATTTTTATAGGGGGACAGGGAAGACATTCTGAAGAGAAGAAATGCAATAATAGTAATGATCAAGCATTTAACATATACCAAGCATTGATTTATCACTCAACATTCATTGCCTCTTTCAAACCTCACAACTGACCAATGCAAAGTCAGTATTGTCAACCCCGTTTTATGGATGCTTGGAAAAGTTATGTGGCTTAACTCACACAGAACTGAATTCCTTGCCTTCCCTTGTCCTCAAGTTTTATTAAAGTATCCTTAGCATTCAACAGGAAAATATTAAAATGATTTTAAGAAGATTAAACAAATTCAAAATCTAACAAAGCATGAAAGAAATTAGCCACAGTTGAGGGAGGGGTGATGGAGGTTTGTAGGATCAAGTCAAGGCAAAGAATTGGGTAATGAACTATCTAGAACCTTAGATTGCCTAGTCTTCCTTCCAAGGAGTAGCTGATGGGTTTGAACCACCAGCCTTCTGGTTAGCAGTCAAATCCCTTAGGCACTGCCACCAGAGCTCCTATCTAGAGCCTAGGAGAGGTCAAAGACAAAGATGTTTCCTGTGTTCCCACATCAGTAAACTACGTCAAAATCAAGCCAGTTGCCACTGAGTGGATTCTAACTTAAGGCAACTCCATGTGTTTCAGAGTAGAACTGTTCACCATGGTTGTGACTTTTTGGAAGAAGGTCACCAGGGCTTTTTTCCAAGGTACCTCTGGGTGGATTGAATTGCCAAACTTCATGGTTAGCAGTCAAGCACTGAACCATTTGCGCTACCATGCTGCCTTCCATATCAATGAAGGGCATCTCAAATCTACTCACTAGTCCAACTAGAAACCTGAGATTTTGTTACCCTTGATGCTCTCTCATTTGGCACCAGCACCTCGTTCTACCCTTTCCCTCTGAGGTAAACTGTAAATCCATTCTAGGGCTTCAAATCTGTTCATTCTGGTTTGACCCACAGCCACCCAAATATACTGTATCAGAATCTATATTTTAACCAGATTGCCAGGTGATTCTTTTACATACATGCAAAAGAATATTCACTGCCCTGAGTCAGTCCTAACTCATAATGACCCCTCCTTGGGTTTTGCAAGCAGTATCACTATGGAAGTAGATTGCCCAACCTTAGAAATGCACATTCTTGGCAGGGGGTCAAACTGAACTGGTTGGAAGCCCTGATCCATTCTCCTTCTCTCCACCTTCACAAGCATTCTCCCCATAACTGGGCTGAGTTACTGATGTGGTTCCTGCCTGGTCCCTCTGCCTCCAGCCTTGCCCCATTCCTAGCTGCTCTCCACATTCCTAGAGTGATTGTTTCAAAGTCTACTCCTCCATTTGAAAGACAAAGTCCTAACTCCTTAATGTGGCTCAGAAGGCCTTCATTATAGAACCTCTCCCCACCTCTCCACCTCAGCACTATCTTCCTCTTCATGTCCCACCCTCACCTACACTGCAGCACTTAAAATTGCCCCACAGCCATCCACAGGCTCTTTGACTCTGAGTATGTGTTCCTTCTGTTAGGAATGTTCTTGCTCTCATGATTCCCATGGCTATTCCCTCACCCTTCATGGCTCAGCTGAGTGTTGCTTCATTCAAGAAGCCTTACCTAATCCCTAATCTGGGTAAGTTTCCCCTCCTCTGTGCCCCCTTGCATGCTATACTTCTACCATCATAACCTTCATCAGTCTGTTCACTCTCCTCCAGGCCTATGAGACTAAGCTCCTTGAAGGCAGTGTCAGTGTCTTATTTACTATTTATTTCTAGTGTCTGGTGCAAAAATCTAGCACCTAGTAGGTGCTTCATTAATGTTTGTGGCCTGATTATCTGAATGAAAGAAACCAAAATGTGGCCATAGATAACTGTCTAATTCCCAAACACTTCCCCTCTGTTCCATGCTGTCTCCTGCACTTCACCTTGAAGAGACGTGGTCAGAATTTGGACAAACAGGAAGTCTTTAGGGAGAAGAGCAAGAGCCCAATGAGAAAGTGAAGAGCAGGTTGTGCTCAAGGGACTGCAGAGAAGAATCCTGGAAAGAAAACACGCAGAGAGAAGTCTCAAGTGTAGATTTGTTTGTGTATCCCACAAAACATATACTGAGCAGCTGTGAGGTGCCAGTTCTTACACCAGACCCTGGCAACAGAACTGAAACTCATATTTAGGGTATGCTTACTACATGTCAGATTTTCTCCTAAAAATTTTATGTTTATCAGCTTTTTAAATCCTCACAACTATCACATTCAGTAAACACAATCCCCATTCAATGGATGAAGAAACCGAGGCACAAAGAGATGAAGTAACTTGCTTGAGGATCCAGGTGAGGAATGTGGATATGAAGTTGGGTGGGCTGCCTGACCCTATCCTGCCTCACTGAAGACACTCAAGTTTCCTGCTATCACTGAACCTACATTCTAGTGAGAGAGACAGATAACAAATAACCCAACACATGAGAATTTCAGAGGGTAATACATTGTTGTTATTCTTGTTAGTTGCCCTTGAGTCAGCCCCCAATTCATGGTGACTCCATGACAACATAAAAAATATGCTGCCTGGTCTTGTGCCATCCCCAGGACAGACTGCTGCTCAGACCAGGTTTTCATTGGCTGATATTCGGAAGCCAATCACTATGCCTTTCTTCCTAGTCCATCTTAGTCTGGAAGCTGCACTGAAAATCAAACCAAACTCACTATCATCGAGCTGATTCTGATTCATAGTGACCCCTCCTTGGGTTTCTGAGGTGATATCTCTATGGAAGTAGGTCGCCCAATCTTTTTTTCTGAGGAGTGGCTGGTGGGTTTGAACTGCCAACCTTCTGGTTAGCAGTCAAATGCCTTAGGTAATATGCCATCAGAGCTCAGCATCATAGCTGCATGCAAGCCTCCAGTGACATACTGGCTGTGCACGAGGTGCATTGGCTGGGAATTGAACCTCAGTATCCTGCATGTTGTTGTTGTTAGGTGCCATTGAATCAGTTCTGACTCATAGCCACCCTCTGTACAACAGAACCAACAGTTCCCAGTCCTGCATCATCCTCACATTCATTGCTAGGTTTGAGCACATTGTTGTAGCCACTGTGCCAATCCATCTTGTTGAGGGTCTTCCTCTTTTTCAGCGACCTTCTACTTTACTAAGCATGATGTCCTTCTTCAGGGACTGGTCCTTCCTGATAAGGTGTCCAAAGTACATGAGACCAAGTCTCCCCATCCTTGCTTCTAAGGAGCATTTTGACTATGCTTCCTCCAAGACATATTTGCTCATTCTTCTGGCAGTTCATTTTGTATTCAATATTCTTCACCAACACCATAACTCAAAGATATCAATTCTTCTTCAGCCTTCGTTATTTGATGTCCAGCTTTTGCATACATATGAGGTGATTAAAAATACCATGGCTTGGTTCAGATACATCTTAAGTCCTCAAGGTAACAGCTTTGCTTTTTAACACTTTGAAGAAGACTCCCACATGGAAGGTGAGAATGCTACCACTGACCTGCTACTGCCTCCTGGCTCATACTATGAAGCAACAACAACAAACCCCATTTCCATCCAGTTGATTCTGACTCACAAAGACCTCCATTGGGTTTCCAAGGCTATAAATCTATACAGAAGTAGATTGCCTCATCTTCCTCCCATAAAGTAGCTGGTGGGTTTGAACCACCAACCTTCTGGTTAACATCCAAATGCCTTATTCACTATGTCACCAGAGCTCCTTGCTATGGAGGAGATAAATCAGGGTGAGGTAGAAAGTGACTAGAGAGGCCAGTCTTGATTGAATGACTATGTAAAACCTCTCTGAGATGGTGACATTTGAGCTGAAACCTGAATGATGAAAAAGAGACAGCCATAGAAAAGCAGGGAGAAAGGTATTTTAAGCAGAGAACAACAACAGCAAAAACTAGGATCCATGCTGAAAGACTGACTTCCCTTAGGATTTCAAATTTCACCCCACATAGCCCCTGAATAGAGCAGAGTTAAGTGCTCTGCTATTAACCAAATGTTTGATGGTTCAGATCAACCCAGAAATGCCTCAGAAAAAAGGCCTGGCAATCTACTTCTAAAAGTCATAGCCTTGAGAACTCTGTGGGACACAGTTCTACTCTGAAGCACACGGGCTTGCAATGAGTGAGAGGTGACTTCATGGCAACTGTTTTTCCCCTCCTTTGGTTTAATAGAAGAAATTTAGGGCATGACACAAAAGTTGCTGCTCTGTGTGCCCCTGGACATTTCCTAGCCACGTCTGGAGCAGACAAGCTGAGGGAAGGGTCTTTGCATGGCCCCAAAGATGGCTGGTCCCTCAGGTGCCCCAGGAGAGAGTAACTTGGGCCCCCAGTGCCTTATCACCAGGCACAGAAGACTCACGTTCTTCCTGAAGCTGTGGTTCTCGGCGCATTCTGACTCATCCTGCCAAACATCCGTGGTGTTCTCCCACATCTGCCACGTACCCTGAGCCAAGCAGCGTCTGTAGGCCCTTCCTGAGCTCTCTGAAAGTAAACAGAGCTTTAGAGGAAAGGTCAGAACACACAGCTCAGCTGAGCACGCTTTCAGGCCTTCCTCTCACCACAAAGCTGTGGAAAATCCCAGGGATTAGGGATTTTCATTTCCCTTTTGGGGGCTTATTAGAATCCTTACTGTTTATTTAGGATGGAGAGAAAAACACAGAGACCTCTGAATTTCGTAACACGCCATGATCCTCTAATGTCTGTTGTGTTTACACAAAGTCTCTGGAGTTAGAATAGTCCCTGGTGACTCAGAAATGTTCTAACTGAGCTAAGGTGTAGCCCAGCTGGGGGACATGACCTCTATCTAGTGACACTTCCTCAGAGGGGCATCTCCATCTGATGCTCACAAGGCAGAAGGATGAAGGGGAAGGTGGTGGGCATGAGGCAGACAAACCAAGGTTGAATTCCACTCTGCCACCTACCAACTTTGTGGCTTTGGGTCTGGTCCTTCTGCTGTCTTAGTCTTCTGTTTTCTCCATTGAAAACTGGACATAATAATGACACAGACACTCCCAGTTGTGGGGATGATTAAATGAAAGAGTGATGAGTAAAGGCTCTTCCCACCCTCACTGCTGATGTGTGACTCAGGGACATTTACTCCAGGAGCCATCCTCAAAGTCCCTCTTTTCTGGAGGATCACTGGTTGGACTTGCCTATCAGACATGGACATATTTTGGAACTTCCTAGTCTTGACCCTCTGGTAGCGTAGTGCCTAAGGTTCTTGACTGCTAACCAGAAGGCTGGCAGTTCAAACCCACCAGCCACTCCTCAGAAGGAAGGTTGGGCAATCTACTTCTGTAGTGATACCGCCTCGGTAACCCAAAGTGGGGTTGCTATGAGTCGGGTCCAACTCGACGCACATAACAACAACAACAGTCTTGATCCTGCACATATAGGCCCAAAATAGCAACTTATTTATTTATTTGTTTTCATATTCTTTTGTAGCTCACTTTATCTCCTCATGACAATATCATCTCCTAAGCTCAGACCTTCAGAAATACTTTTTTTTTAAGAGTTATTCTTTGCTCTAATCATAAATATATGACAAGTTCTTTATAGAAAATAACAAGAAATAAAAATGAAAAGACATAGAATTAATCACTCAGATAATTGCTATTACCATTTTGGTGTTTCTTCTTTTTTAACAATTTTTTTTTCATGATTTGGGTAAAAGTTCACAGAGCAAATTACTTTTCTATTCAACAATTCATACTCATTTTGTTTCATGACCATTGACTGCAATCTCTACAAAATAACAGCACTCTTCTCACTTCCTCCTTGTTTTTCCTGTTGCCATTTGAACTTCTTTCCTATCCCTTCCTGCCTCTTGTGCTTTATCCCTGGGCAAATGCTTCCCTTTTGATTGCATATTGTTGATTGTTCTAAGGAATTAGTATCTCTCTGTGCTATTGTTCACCTTATAGCCCTGTCTATTGTTTGACTAAAAGTTGAGATGAGGTGTGTTCAGTTCTGGGCCTGAAGGGTTTCTAAGGACCTTAGTCTCAGGGGTTCCACAGTCTCTATCAGACCAGTGAGACTGGTCTTTTTTGTCATTTTGAATTTTGTTCCACATTTTTCTCTCACTCTATCCAAGATTTCTTATTGTGATCCTTTTCAGAGTGGTCAGCAGTTGTAACCAGGCACCATCTAGTTCTTCTGGTCTCAGGGTTGTGGAGGCTTTGGACTAATTTTTGCTCTGCATCTTTTATTTTCTTCACTCTTCTTTTCTCTGGACAGGGAGAGACCAATAGTTGTACCTTAGATGGCTACTCACAAGCTTTTAAGACTCCAGTTACTATTCACCAAAGTAGGATGTAAAACATTGTCTTTCTGGACTATGTTATGCCAATTGAACTTTATGTGCCCCCAAGACTAGGTCCTGAGCCCCCAGTGATTCAGTCCCTCAAGGTATTTATTGTTCACTGATTGGATGGAGACTGTTGGACTCTCTGAGACTATGACCCTTAGTCACCTTTCAAGCCTGGAACTGAAATCATCTCCGTGGCTCAACTTTCAGCCAAATAATTGCACAGATCTATAAAGTGAACAATAGCATTAGGGTGGTACACACTCCTTAGAACAATTAACCATTTGTGATCAAAAGAGCAATATATTCCCAATGGAAATAGAAAATATAGTGAGGAAATATGATGAGTGCTGTTATATTGTGGGTTTACAATCAGTAGCATAAAATGTGTATGAATTGTTGAATGGAAGACTGATTTGCTCTGTAAACTTTCACCTAAATCACAATAAAAGCTAAAAACAACAACAAAAAAAAGTTATGGCTAAGAAGTTTTCATAGCTTTTCCCCCTTTGCTACTTCGCTCCAGTCACACTGGCCTCCTTGCTCTTCATGAAACACGCTGGGCATGATCTCCTGGTAGGCCCTTTGCTCTTGTAGATCTCTTCCCTCTTGAATATTCTTTCTCTGTTGTCTAAATCCTTTAGGTCTTTTAAGCAGTCACTAAAACATCACTTGTCAATGAGGACGTCCTTGACCACCAATTTGCAATTGCAATTCACTCTTCCACTGCAATACTCTCATCTCTTCCCCACTTTTACTCTATTTTTTAAAACATATCATATTCAAAATACTCTAAACTTATTATGTTTACTGATTATTTCTGTCTCTTCTGCTAGAATTTGAACCCACCCCACAGGAGAGTAATTTTATTCTGTTTTGGTCACTAATATATTCCCAGCACTTAAAAAACAATGCCTGGCACACAACAGGTGCTCTATAAATAATTGTTGAATGTATGAATGACAATATTGCCACCTGAAATGTGTAGCACTTTGTTTTCCATACCAGCAGAAATGTTCCATGCTGAGGATGCAAAGACCAATAAGGCACAGTTTAAAGCCTAGCAGGAAGAGGGGACATGCAAATAAAAAGCCATAAAGTGTTGTAAGTACTAAGATAGAAGACTGTAGATGTATATGAAATATAAGAAAGGCAAGGGACCATTGTACTTGTGGGGAGAAGTCAGAGAATTTTCCTAGAGGAAAGGAAGATTGCAGCTAAGAATTCAAGTTGGGTTTGTAGGCAGAAGAGGGTGGGTAGAACCTTTGTGGCATTGTGGGGTGAAGCACCAACAGAGACACCTAATGGAATGGTAATACCTGGGAAGGGAGGTGAGAGAGAGTGTTAGAGAGATCAGCAGGGCCATGTGACAAGAGGCATTGCACACTCGTTTAAAGGTTTCAAGACAGGCATCTAACATAATCTGATTTGTGTTTTAGAAAATCTTACTGAAGATGGGTGAGTGGATTGGGTTATAGGATGGGTTGGAAGGAGACAAGACAGAGGCAGGGACCAGTGAGGATACCAGGGAAGAAGAGATGATGGTGAGCCTATACTAAGGCAGTCAAGGGAGGCGATGTACCACCTAGATGAGGGGTGAGTTTGAATGAGGCCAGGTAGAAAGTGAGATAATTAATGAGAAGAATATAGAAGAATAGCTTGTTTTCGTCTCCTGCTCCATTTTCTACTCCTCTCTGTCCTTTGATTTCCACTCCATCTTATGACAAGTCTTGACCATCCTATCACCAATACTGTTCTTTAATCTTTCTCCTTTTCCCCAACTCCTTCCCTCTACCAGAGTCCAGGCCCTCACCATTGCTTTTCCTGGACCACTAGAGTAGCTTCCAAACTCACCTCCCTGATTCCATTCCATCCCTCTGATCTAATAGGCATATGCCATCAAAATTCGCTTCCCAAACTGCAAACCTGTTATGTCCTTCCCATACCTTTACCCCTTCATTGACTCTGCAATTTTTTTCTACAGAGGAAAGTTTAAAACTCTGAGTACACAAAGTTTAAAACTCGTAATACACAATTTACTTCACAATTAGTCCCCACCCTCATTTAGCACTCTGGGTTGTGGAACAGTTAAGCACTCAGCTGCTAACTAAAAGGTTAGTGGTCAGAGTCTGTCTAGAGGTCCTTTGGAAGAAGGCCTCATGATCTACATCTATAAAATCAGCCATTGAAAAGCCTATGGAGCACAGTTCTACTCTAATACATGTGAGTCCCCATCAGTTGGAGTTGACTCAAAGCCAATTCGTTTTACTAGTTTATATTCCACTATACCCTGTAGCTAGCATAGTGCCTAAGGCACTTGACTGCTAACCAGAAGGCTGGAGGTTCAAACCCACCAGCCACTCCTCGGAAGGAAGGTTGGGCAATCCTACTTCCATAGTGATACCGCCTCGGAAACCCAAGGAGGGGTCGCTATGAGTCGGGGCCGACTCGACAGCATATAACAACAACAACAACAACATACCCTGTATTTACCATTGAGCTCTCTCCCAACTCATGCTATAAGGTTTGTTTCTCTATTGTCTCACAAGAATTTTTCTTTATCCTTTCACATTTATAAGGTGTTCTTGAAACACACTCCATCATCTCCACATTCTCTTTTCCCTACAGGGACCTATTTGGATTCCAAAGATTTAATGAATAAAACTTTGAGTGGAAGAGTGTGGTAGTTCAGTTTGTATGTCAACTTTCACCCAGCCCCTAGAGCCTGGCACTTTGACCTTGGAGTTCTAGCCTCCCGATTTGTTAAGAGAATAAACTCATGTTTGATAAAGCCATCCCATTTGTGATATGTTTCTGTCAGAGTGCCACTAGGTACCCAGAACAGAATATGATACCGATAGAGTGGGGTCCTGCTCTGACAGATAACCTAAAATGTGGAAACAGGAGTGGAGTGCGTCCTTGATCCGAGTCCCTGGCAGAGAGACCCTGGCATACGGCATGAGAAACAGCAGGAGCAGAGCCAAGAGACCAGCATAAGAGACAGCAGTAGCAGAGCCCACAGACCGGCATTAAACAGCAACAGGCTTACCAGCCCACAGAAGAGAAAAGCCAGGTGCCACTGGGAAGGTGGCTTCCTGGTGGAGTGGGTTGCCTTCAGTCATGAATTGGTAGAAGGGACCGGCACAAAATGGAGTAGCAGGCTGGCCAGCCCATG